CCAGTTAGCAAGTCAGACATTTCTGAGTTTCCTATAGTTCCGACTAGCATGGGAACGAGGCAATAGGCCTACTTGTAAAATCATAATTTCAGTAGCCTGGTTTCAAAGACGTTATCTTTTTAATTGTATTGGTAATCAATAAGTATATTTCCTCTCTCATTCTCTTACACCAAGCCTATAAAAACTGCCTAACAAAAGTAGAGTGGGGGGCCTCGTCAAACGAAAGACACTAAAAACAAGCCTGTGTTATGTTCAGATAACAACAGCCGTTCAGCGCAACCAGCAACATAGTACACACACACCAGTGCACACACACACCAGCCAGGTCACCCGTGATACAAGTCGGTATTCGACGTCCATCCATGTCTGAGGATGTCGGGAGATGACGTGGAAACCGGCCACTAGGGGCAACAGTGAGCGCTGTTACCTTCAAGTAGGTTTTGGTTTTGCTAGGGCATGTGGACAGGGATGGCAGATGGGCATAAGCATCTGCCTCAGATTCCAGAGGTTGCAAGTTCAAAGCATCTGCCTCTGATTCCAAAGATTGCAAGTTCAAAGCATCTGCCTCTGATTCCAAAGATAGCAAGTTCAAAGCATCTACCTCTGATTCCAAAGATAGCAAGTTCAAAGCATCTGCCTTTGATTCCAAAGATTGGTTCAAAGCATCTGCCTCTGATTCCAAAGGTTGCAAGTTCAAATCCAACGATAGAAAGTAGTTTTTTAGATTTTTGTTTTAAGCCTATCCCAAACTTTAACCCTTACCTTAACCATTTGGAGTTAATGCCTAACCTAAAGATTTTGGAGATAATGCCAACACTTTGAAATGTGACGTTTGGAGCAACTTCGAAATTTGATGTTTGAGAAACATGGATGAACGTCTGGTTCTGACGTGAGACTGTGAGAGCTAGTTGACACACACACACACACACTGTTGCCGTCTCCATGATGCCAAGGATTAATTAGCACAGCAGACTATCGGCCCATCTCTTGCCAGAGAAAGCACTGTCCCTTGATGAAGTTGGCTGTGCCACCTGTCTCAAATATGCTTCCTCGCCACGTTCCTCCGCTTTTCATTCATTCCCCCATTCCTTACTCATTAATTTAGCAGCCACCCTTTATCCAGGTGGGTTCACCATCGCTTATCGACAGGGTTAAAAATAAGATCCACCTTGTTCATATGCTTTCATTCTTCCCGAGGATACTCGGTCACGTTAATGAGGGCAATATCAAATGTTACCGTGTGCAATTACAGCAGTATGCCACGTTTGACTATAAAGGTCAAATGTACCAGCGGAAATTATATTGACTGATAATGATAAAGGACTTTATTACAGATTGACTTTGGGCTCTTTCAATCGAAATGTCCTTACAAACATCTCAAGTGTGTCTTTGGAGGAAACTGTATTGTCATTAGCTTATAGCGTAGTTGATTATTATTACAGCACTGTAAAGTGTCCATACAACCAGTGGCGATTTTAGCATGTAAATCTTGGTGGGGCAAACTCCCCCCAAAAATGTTTAGATGCATGCCAGCAAAGCCACTACACAACACAACACTAAACAATACATTAATTTCACTATAACGGTGACAAACGGTGCCCACAAACTGTTAGGGCCTACATAAAGCTGTCCCAACAGCAGAGTCCCAACAGCAGTCCCAACACCTTACCACTGCTACACCTGGCTATTAGCGGAGCCTTGTCTGGCAGCAAAACAGTTCATTCAGCCTCATTTTTTATATATTTTTTATATTTATTTGACCTTTATTCAACTAGGCAAGTCAGTTAAGAACAAATTCTTATTTACAATGACAGCCTACACCAACCAAACCCAGACGACGCTGGGCCAATTGTGTGCCACCCTATGGGACTCCCAATCACAGCCAGTTGTGATACAGCCTGGAATCAAACCAGGGGTCTGTAGTGACACCTCAAGCACTGAGATGCAGTGCCTTAGACCGGTGCGCCACTCAGGAGCCTTTAAATAAATATATAGCTGATATGGCTGACTTGCTTAAACAAATGTGGTTTCTACTGTACAAACTATGGCGTAAGGGGGCGACGAACGGATTAGGCAAATCATAATTTCGATTAAGACATTAATAAGAGAGCTAGGACGGACGTAGTCAATATAACTATTTGTTCAGCACTTTTTAAATGTACAGCAACAGAATTCAGAACATGGGCCATTCTTACAGTATTCTTCCTGTACACCAAGTCAGAACCATAGGATAAATAAAGGGGGCATATAAGCAGACAATGAAAGCTCTTACAATATTCGATGATTACATTTCTCTAAAAACAGGTTATAGGCTACATGTGCACCACCAAGTCAGAACAGTAGGTGAAATGATGAGGGGAAAAGGGACCAAATTATTAGGGTGAAGCACATGGGCTACTAACAGCTTACTACACAACATACACTTAGTATTACTTTCTTAGCTACAGTATACATATCTCCCTGGCATATTACATCATTTATGCAGCAGCATACAATACATTTTTGGACTCACCTTGTGCTGTGCTCACTTGAACAGGAGGTGGCGCGGCGGTCCTTGTCACGCCCTGGCTCTGGGGACTCTTGTATGTTGAGCCAGGGTGTTAGTTTCTTTGTGTAGTGTCTATGTTTCGTTTTCTATGTTCTGTTCTAGGTTATGTGTTTCTATGTTGGCCGGGGTGGTTCTCAATCAGAGGCAACGAGAATCAGCTGTTGCTTGTTGTCTCTGATTGGGAACCATACTTAGGCAGCCTGTTGTGCACTTGTGTTTTGTGGGATCTTGTTCCGTGTTGGTTTGTGTTGTTAACCGAGGACTTCACGTTTCGGTTGGTTGTTTTGTATTTTGTATCGTGTTGCCAGTACACTATTAAAAAGATGTACGCATATCACGCTGCGCCTTGGTCCAATCATTATGACGATCGTAACAGTCCTTCATGGGCAAAATTAGTCATCAAACTTTTTCATCAAAGCCTGCCATTCTCTGAATTTATGGTGCTTTCAAGACAACTGGGAACTCAGAAAAGAACAAGGTCGATTCATGACATCAGTGATCTTCAGGTCGTAACTCTAGAAGAGACTTGAGTTCCCAACTTACAATTCCGAGTTGGGTGACCATTCAAAACGTATTTTCCCAGTCGGAGCTCGTTTTTTTCAGAGTTCCCAGTTCCGAGTTTCCAGCTGTTTTGAGCACGGCATAAGTCATGCTGGATTGACAGCATGGCCAATGTTGAATGTTTATACTCTTAAGCTTGGAAAATAGACCCTTAAACCTAGACTTGGACCACACACGCACACTCCACTGAATAGCAGGCTAGTGATTGCTTTTCAATGCTTGCAGTTAGCCACTGATTCCTTCCAAACCACTCATTGTTGAATTAGCGATTTCCAACTTGTTGTGTAATGTTTATGTCCAATGGCCGATGAGCACCCGATACGTTTTATCTATACTTTCTCTTCATTATTTCTCTTCATGTGACAAGGATTGAAAAGGATTTGCCAGTAGATTGTCGACTTGATTCATGATGCTAGCTAATTTTGAAAGTATGACGTTGACATGATCAGTCCAATCAAAGCTACTGTAGATATAACATGATTTGACGTAATTTAGCTGTGGCCAATGACCTTGAGCCTTCTTGGATGGGCTCTTCTAATGTAACTCTATGGCACCCAAGGGGCTTGATTTTTCGAGCTCTACCCATAGATTTTGCGGTGATGTAGTGTCCCCATGAGTGACAGAACACTGAGCCAATCACGGCGCAACTAGAGAACATTATCAACCCCTACGCTCCGTATTTTCCACTGGCTGCCCCACCACTACAGAAAACACTGAGTTAGGCTGAAACACCTGCATTTTGGAGCTGCCATACTCAAGAAAGCAAAAAAGAGACCAAGTTTGTATGTGGCTTTATTAACTCAATGATTTATTTATTTATTTTTACATTTTTTGGAAACTGATATGTGACACGTATTAATGCCAAAATAACATGCATAACAGGTGGGGCTCAAAACAGAAACCTGAATGACGGGTCGCCACTGCATACAATATAATTCAAATTGGCATTATAACAGAAGGCATCTCAGAGCTTCAGTCCAATCTGATCTGGCTGCAGAGTGTATTATCCTGCCCTGATCAGTCTGGTGCTGCTGCTAATCTAACCTCAGAGAGCGGGAGCAGAGCGGCAAGGAGGCAGGCTCCCTATCAGTGCCTGGGTCGCTGAACCTGGTTAAATATAGAAGTGGCCGAGATGGGCATCGATTTTTCTTAGAGTTGACGGCCCAGACTGACAGCGCTGAACGCAGCAGGCTTCACAGAGCCGTCGAGGGAATTTGCCAGACGAAGGTGATGAGATGAGATGGCAAGATCACGGCTACAAAGCTGCACAGCTACGCGCTCCAAGCTCCCTCCACCCCACCCCAGCGACGGTCTCCCCCAAAGTAATTACTGTACACACCCCCACTCTCCAGCCCTGAGAATGCAATAGGATTTTGGCTGGCTGAGCACCAGCCTGCCTCATCTCACTCCTTTTGCCAACAAAAAAAAAACCTGTGTACACACACACACTACAACACAGTCCAAGTCATCCTTGTGTCTCTTTCACATCCTCCGCTACACACACCCTCCGGTTTACAGACAAATGCCTGTGTAGTAACACTGTAATTACAGTCGCTAGTCATCTTGTGTGATTACAAAAACACTAAACTCAATTGCTATACAATTACTAAACTATTGTGCAACAATATGTCAATAAGCCTACATTCAATGTTGTTACTAGTGTCACCAAAAAGGACATATTCTGATATCAGGATATCATTTTATGTCTCCTATGTCTTAGCCCTGGTTTCTTTCAGCAGGAAGTCACAAAGGCTTCTGAATCTGCCTGTAGCACAATGCATGCTCCACTTGCATCCTAATACACCTCCTCCCCCTACAACCGTCATGGTCAGCCTAACACCTTCGTTTCACCATTAACTATGACCTATAACACATCAGTTTTCTTGATGTGATGGTTATTAAGGACAAAACCTCCCTCTCTACAGGTCTCTATAGGAAACCTACGGACAGGAATACCCTCCTTAGAGGTGACAGCTTCCATCCACGTCCACTTATTAAAAGTCTTTCTCTAAGTCAATTCAGTCGCATCAGAAGAAATATGCAGCTCAGAAACAGACCACGGACCTCATACAAAGGTTTAAGGAAAGGGGGTACAAAGACAATTGGGTAAAACATACCAATTATCGTTTTGAAGGACTAACACAGTTGGAAAGTTAAAGAAAAAGCAGAATACTCACCATTGGGGAAGGCATTTAAGGACATTATCAGGAAGCACTGGTACATTATTGATACTGACCCACAAACGTGAAAGACATTGTGGTTAAATCTGATTATCCACCAGAGAAAAGGGAAACTTTCTTGGACAAGGTTCCGGAGGGTAATTACAAATGTGGTCAATTGCTTAATGCAGCTTCACGTACAAATGTAACTCATTTACCCACCCCCGCACAGGACAAAGATTGAAGATCAAAGGCCTGATTACCTGCATGTCCACCAATGTTATTTACATGTTGAAATGTCCTTGTGGTCTGTCTTACATAGTGTCACGACTTCCGTCGAGGCTGCCTCCCCTCCTTGTTCGGGCAGGCTTCGGCGTTCGTCGTCACCGGCTTACTAGCCACTGCCGCTCCATATATCATCACTCCATTTGTCTTGTCTTGTCAATTACACACACCTGGTTCATATCCCCTCATTAGTTGTGTATAAGTGTTCCCTCTGCCCCCCTTGTCCTTGTGGGTGATTGTTTATTTGTGAGAGTAGGGTGGAGCTACTCGTACCTTGTATTGCCGGGGTAGATATTTCCCCTGTGCCTGTATTATTGTTGGAGCTACCCGTACCGTGTATTGCCAGGGTAGATATTTCCCCTGTGCCTGTTTTCATGTGTCGCTATCCAGCGCAATTGTGTACGACGGAATAAACTCTGTATTCAGTGATTTACCCTCCTGCGCCTGACTCCTATCACACTCATCACACATAGGGAAACCCGTAGAAGCCTTAAGACCCGGATCAGTGAGCACCGCAGCAATATACGGACAGGTGAGACACAAAATCAGGTTGCTGTTCATTTTATACAAGCTGGACATCCTATTAGTTCTCTGAGATACATTGGAATAGAAATGGTCAAGATGTCACACAGGGGAGGGGACATTGAGAGGAAACTTCTTCAAAGGGAATCTTTTTGGATCCACAGGCTCAACACACTGTCTCCTCTTGGCCTTAACGAGGAGTTCGACTTGAAACCGTTTTTATAGTTTCAAAATGTACAAATTATTGTGTTTTTTGTCCTACATTTAATATTGTATGTGTATATATACACTACCAGTCAAAAGTTTGGATACACCTACTCGTTCAAGGGTTTTTCATAATTTAAACTATTTTTTACATTGTAGAATAATAGTGAAGACATCAAAACTATGAAATAAATATAGGGAATCATGTAGTAACCATAAAAGTGTTAAACAAATCAAAATATATTTTATATTTGAGATTCTTCAAATAGCCACACTTTGCCTTGATGACAGCTTTGCACACTCTTGGTATTCTCTCAACCAGCTTCATGAGGTAGTCACCTGGAATGCATTTCAATTAACAGGTGTGCCTTCTTAAAAGTTAATTTGTGGAATTTATTTCGTTCTTAATGCGTTTGAGCCAATCAGTTGTGTTGTGACAAGGTAGGGGGGGTGGGGTATATGGAAGATAGCCCTATTTGGTAAAAGACCAAGTCCATATTATGGCAAGAACAGCTCAAATAAGCAAAGAGAAATGACAGTCCATCATTACTTTAAGACATGAAGGTTAGTCAATATGGAACATTTCAAAAAAGTTTCTTCAAGTGCAGTCACAAAAACCATCAAGCGCTATGATGAAACTGGCTCTCATGAGGACCGCCACAGGAATGGAAGACCCAGAGTTACCTCTGCTGCAGAGGATAAGTTCATTAGAGTTACCAGCCTCAGAAATTACAGCCCAAATAAATGCTTCACAGAGTTCAAGTCACAGACACATCTCAACATCAACTGTTCAGAGGGGACTGTGTGAATCAGGCCTTTATGGTTGAATTGCTGCAAAGAAACCACTACTAAAGGACACCAATAAGAAGAAGAGACCTGCTTGGGCCAAGAAACATGAGCAATGGACATTAGACTGGTGGAAATGTGTCCTTTGGTCTGGAGTCCAAATTTGAGATTTCTTTGTGAGACGCGGTGTGGGTGTACGGATGATCTCTGCGTGTGTAGTTCCCACCGTAAAGCATGGAGGAGGAAGTGTTATGGTGTGGGGGTGCTTTGCTGGTGACACTGTCTGTGATTTATTAACCAGCATGGCTACCACAGCATTCTGCAGCGATACGCCATCCCATCTGGTTTGGGCTTAGTGGGACTATCATTTGTTTTTCAACAGGACAATGACCCAACACACCTCCAGGCTGTGTAAGGGCTATTTTACCAAGAAGGAGAGAGATGGAGTGCTGCATCAGATTACCTGGCCTCCACAATCCCCCGACCTCAACCCAATTGAGATGGTTTGGGATGAGTCGGACGGCAGAGTGAAGGAAAAGCAGCAGACAAGTGCTCAGCATATGTGGGAACTCCTTCAATACTGTTGGAAAAGCATTCCAGGTGAAGCTGGTTGAGAGAATGTCAAGAGTGTGAAAGGCTGTCATCAAGGCAAAGGGTGGCTATTTGAAGAATCTCAAATATAAAATATATTTTGATTTGTTTAACACTTTTTTGGTTACTACATGATTCCATATGTGTTATTTCATAGTTTTGATGTCTTCAGTATTATTCTCCAATTTAGAAAATAGTAAAAAATTAAGAAAAACCCTTGAATGAGTAGGTGTGTCCAAACTTTTGACTGGTACTGTATATTACTGTAAATATTGATCACATTCCTTGTGTATGATCATATATTTTGATACATTGAATGTTAATATTGTGAACCTATGTTATATATTTTTTACCTCCTGTTTCAGGAAGTGATGTCACTGAGTACTGCCTCTATATATAGGACCTTCCACCCCCACCTGGGATACGGATGCCTGATGAAGACCTAAGGGTGGAAACTTTGTTATAATTAAATATCACCTGGGAGCATGAGCAGCAGTGTGCGGCATTTTCCTTTCTGTTTTCCATCAGCCACAGAAGAGCTCACTCTTTGATTGGCTTGAAATGTCCTCATGTTCAGGAGGGCACTAGGGCAGAGCGGCTGTTTGCAATCTACAGTGGCTGACAAGGGAATCGATGACCTATTTTCATCCCAGTGACCTGGGCGAGATAAACCACAGTTTATCGTTTTACCTGAGATTGATTGAGGCCAAGTGCAAAGACCCAACTCTGCTGGCTTCCTGACATGCAGAAAGACAGAAAGTGTTTTAATCTAGACAGCCCTGTCAGTAATTCAATAGCCCTTTGAGCAACCAGGAGAATGGTCTCCTGTTTAAGTCTACAGTGACTCATTTGAAGTCATAAGGTCCTATTCAACCAATCCTGGGATTCTGGGTTCTAAAATATTTCAGTTAGACCTGTAGCTTGGGCTTCATTACAACATGCCATCATGCTGTCGTACAGGGACCATATTGGTGCTGCCCTTGGATTATGAACAAAAGTGGCCCAAAAAAACAAATGACGCATTGTCCCTGTTAAATAAATGATCAAAGTAATGAATAACTAGACTGGTGTCTATTGACTAGTGGCCTTGCTTTGTCTGAATCATTTCTGACTCACTGGTATGTTGAATTCTGTCACTCATTTAATTTGTTATATTTGGAAAATTCATTCATGTTTTTAATGTCCTCAACATAAAGTGGTGTGGCTGAAAATCCTCCACCAGTGAAATGTATTTAATCAGGTTCCTGTACTTTTAATTAAACTATTTTTTAGGAGGGACTTTCTACCTTTTTCTATCAAATGTCACACTTCTAGCTAAGGAACACTACATGACCATTTCATAATATGAGGACAAAATTGAACAGGTTTTTAAACAAATTTAATGAGCCATTTGAGGCCTTGAGACATTTTGCCTAATGAGGCATTCAGGTCGTCTCTCGCTCTTCCTACCCTTGTGGTCTCTCCACCCCTGGTTAAATTGTCTGAGTATCAAGACAGAGCTCTTTCTTTTGTCTCATAGCTCAATTATAACCCCAATCAATTGAGATGGAGACATGAGTCAGACACACAGGCTGACGGTAGGTCTGCAGACTGACAACACTGCTCGAATACTGATCTATAAAACACACAGACCAATCTAACATAACACATGAATCAGTCATAGCTGGCAATACCTAGAAATTCATAGTAAATCCCTGGATACACAATGTGTGACCACTACTCCTTTCATGGACGAGCCAACGTGTCAAAGTGTGACTGCACTACTCTCTTTCATGACGAGGACCT